AGGGTGGGAGGGGAGGGAAGTGAGGAAGGAGGCGAAGAAGCGGCAGGGCAAGTAGATATGCATCTACACTCTTCCCCCATGCACTAGATGTGCTACATTCTCTACTGAAGTGTTCCCTTCTTTGTTTCAAAGAGGAAGCAACTTTCCTTTTGCTTTTATCTTTTCCTCTGTGGCAATCCTTTTTTGTTTCAAGTTTTGCGACTTCTCGACTCATGCATGTCATCCTTGCACAGGAGCCATGCTACTCGTCTCTGTATCCTTTTTTTTTTTTCTTTCAAACACTACCTCCGAGCCTCGTTTTGCCGAGGCAAAGTAGAACTGCGCACCAAGCTCTGGCCCAAGTGCCAGCGTGGCGTTTTTCATTTTCTTTTGGCTGGCCCCACCAGCCTTTTTGGTCCCATAGCGCCCAGCCTCTGCCGGCCTCCGAAGAATGCGGTATAGGGGTACTATAGGTTATATTCACGACTTAGCCTCCCAGCCTGAAAGGTAGTGGTGGTATAAGAAACAGGGACGAGGTCCACTTGCACAGATTAAGATGTACTGGCTGTAGTGTAGATCTTCTTTATCTACGGCCAGGATCTGTCAATCCGTGCAAGTGGGACCTTGCCCCAGGCCTTATGGTCCCCCGGCTCCGTATCCGTTCTGGCCCCTCTGAAAAGCATCAGTGCGAGACTTGCACAGATTAAGTCATGTGTTACGTCATTAACACCCCCACGCTTCCTTCCATTCGGCCAAAGTACCCCTGACCAGCATTGATTTCTCCCTTTTACCAGAAGGATTGGCTGTTAGCTTGCCTGGCCTCGTCATGAATCCCGCTCAGGTTTCCATTTGAACCTGCTACCGTCTTCCCCCGAATAGAACGCCCGCCCGGTCACTATCACTGCCTCTGGACCGAAAGAGTCGTGCCAAATACAGTAGCAATAATGACCGGGCGTTCTGTTCGGGTGAAGACGGTAGCTAGAGCTTTTCACAACGAGAATCCTGAGACAGCCTTTGACATGCCGTGCCTGTATCTGCTCTTGACTGCCTCGTCCCCACGTCCAATTTCAAACCACCCCAGTGTCTCCGTCGCCCAATATATGCAGAGGCTGCAGAATCCGAGCTTCGATCCGAGCTTTGACAGCCTATCCAACGCAAGCGGGGGTAGCGAGAAGGTGCACAAAACAAAATTCCGAGTGCTTAGTGCTCCAAATTTGGCGGGGTTCTTTTGTTCTCATTTTTGTTGACCAAAAATCCCCGCTACGGGCCCTCGGACTGCAAGAAAGAAAAAAAGGGGGGTAACTTCAGTGGAGTCACAAAAACGAGTTATAATTGCACTATAGGGCAAGATATAGAGTGCAATTGCACTTTGGGCACCCTACCTGGGCAGAAAGCTGGGTTGTATACACTGCCCGAACTGCAATTCGAAACTGTATCTTTGCCCGTAGTGCAATTATAACTCATTTCTGTGACTCCCGCCTAGTTTCCCCCCCAAAAAATTAAAAAATCATTCGACGCTACCCAGAAAATTTGTGAACGCCTTCAACTTTTGCTTTTTCCATGTGAAGAAACATTCAGGGCTTAGTAAGTTCTGCTCTATCAATCATGATTTTTGCTTGAATTTTTCTGAAAAAAAAAAAAAGGTTCTGCAACTTCGGCTCTATCAGGGAAAAGTATTGTGTGGGGGGGGGGAGAGGGAGGGAATTGCTCACGAAAAACGCTCGGCGCAAACCAAATGCATATGTCAACTGTTTTTTTTTTTTTTTTTTGCTGGGAACCGGGCCCAGCGTCCATCATGAACTTTACTGATGATACTTCTGATACTATGATGATGATGATGATGATGATGATGATGATGAAGATGATGAAGATACTAGTGATACCGTTGATAATAAGCTGAGAAATGAGAGATTATCACTTAGTTTTTTCAAGGACTGGACGAACTTAGAGCCCTCGTTCCCACTACGCCCTCCCTCGGACTTCCCAGACCCCTTCCCACCCCATGCCCTTTCCTTGGCGGAAATCCTGTCCTGAAGTGCCTAATCTTCCTTGTTCACCTACACTTACACATGGAGCTCTTCCCTGGATCCCCCCGCCCGGGGAGGACTCCACTAGCATACACAATCATCTTCCTAGTTACGATCATTATCTGCTGCTCAGTTAACCCCCCCAGCTCTCTGGGGTAGTGAATGCTGGCAGTGGTGTCTGAGTTATTGAGCTGACATAGGTCAGCATTCTGAGGTGTTCATTTGAAAAAAAAAAAAAGAAAAAAAAAAGCTGATGATGATGTTAATTCTATAGTGAGATAAAGACTACATCAGCACAACCTGGCCTCACCATAACTTCTGCTGGTGCATATGTTTATGTCTGTCGATGTGTCTCCGTATTCCGCCTGTGTGCTTGTGCAAGGCAGATGGCTGAACTCTCAAGTAACAGAAGCACAGCTAGGGAAGTTTGGCTCTCGCTACCCATTCAGATCATCACCACCATCAGTGTTACATGCAAAAAGCATGACGTCATCGGCAGCTCCAATTACATCTCTGTCCTCCATTCTCGGGGCCAGCTCAAAGATCCCGGCAACTACTTCCGTTCCAACTGGTGCGACAGCTAGGTGTGAGCCGTCCTGCGGGGTAAGGCAGCCACTCGCTGCCACACAGTCGAATCCACAGGACGTCTTCGGCTCCATACAAGGTACGCTTGGTGGACCACCACCAGGTCTTGACAGCCAATTACAGCAACATGTTCATCCACGCGAACCTTCGCTTCTGCCACACCTAAAGCCCATCTCTTCTTGTCGGTCTACCGAGCAGTTCACCTTGAACGCAATGAACGGCAACAATCAGCCCCATGCCGCTGACTACTTTGATGGAACCAGAAGGTGCTATGTGCCTGACAGGGACTGGGATCGGGACACCTACAATAGGCGACCTTCTCGGGTGAGGGGTGGTATGTCCTCCTTCGCACCCTCTATGGAATATCAACCTTTGGTAGGTAACATGGAACAAGGAACAGGTGATGCAGCAGACCCAAGTGCCACTGCTGGTCCACATGTGGCAAGGTATACGGTACCGACTGGGACAGGGTACTGTACAGAGAATGATCCCTCCCTTGGGAATGTTCAACGGGATGCTTCCGGTGCTGCTAAGTCCAGAGGTGGGAACAGTATGGGTACTGCTGCACCCTCTGGTCAGCCAATGCGACCGCTTCACGAAGCTGCTGGAGCGTTCGCCGCCAAAGTTGGAGATGCTATTGCCCCGGGAGGGAGCGATGCCAGGATTGTCCCAAAGGCTTCGCAAATTGGCACCAGCAATGGAGACGATCTCGGAAGGGCGTTCAGAGTGCCACTCATGACAGCCATCGCTTCAGGGAGCTAATGGCAAGACTCACCACAGTGCCAGTCTTTCTGTTGTCTTTACATGGGTAGACGTGTAGTGGTCGGTGGTTAAATGGGACCCAGGTACCCTGGGAAAAGAGGGGTCACAAGCAAAAATGGGACCCAGGTACCCTGGGAAAAAGGGGGTCCCAAGCAAAAATGGAACCCAGGTACGCTGGGAAAAGGTGGGTCACAAGCAAAAAAGAAATAACAGGTGTTCCTATCTAGTGCTGCATCAGCTCAAGGCTACCTTCTTCACCTGAATAGAACGCCCGGTCATTATAACTGCATTTGGCACAACTTTCAGTCCAGATGCAGCGATAATGACCGGGTGTTCTATTCGGGTGAAGACGGTAGCTCGATGTGTAGTATAGTCTCAACCTTTCACTGTACAAAATTGTGTCACAGCTTCCTCCCATAAATCAGCTTTGACTCCTTTGAGTCTCAAGGGTCACTTAACCAACCTTGTGAGGTTTGTTTACAATAGCATAGGGCATTCCATACTAATTGCATGCCACACTCGAAAAAAGAGCCCGCAGCTAGTCACTGGTGGGGTCTAGTGCCTGCAGTAGGTTCAGGTAGGTTGGATAGGGTGCCATTGGGTGCAGTTCCTACTGACATTCGGATAGAACTGTCTGGTGGCTATATATGGGGCCTGTAGTTCATTGTCTGGGCCTGGCGTCCGAAGTTCCCGTTCGACAAGGTTCGTCCGATTCCGCTTCCACCAGGGCTGGGCAATCTATCAGCCCAGGTGCCTATCACTGCTGTTCGGTCCAAGTTGCCTGCCCGTTGGTAGGGCAATGGTCCTGAGTGCTGGCCACACTGAGGTAGGATAGTGGGATAGGGGGTGCGCTAGGAGTATTGACGTGAGGATGGGTTGGGAGGTGGTCTCATATTCCAGGACACCCGCGGCTCACACTTCCAGGTGATCACTGTGCACACACTGACTGGCCTCTACAACACCCTGGACTTTAAGAGGGAAAAAAAAAAAAAAAAAAAAAAGAGCCCGCAGCCTGGTATGCCCATGGAAGGAATGCAAGACAATGGGCCTCGCTCCACTACTCAACATTCTACATGCATTTGGACACACATCTGGATTCGGTGCATTCGGAGGAGTCCAACATTTTGAATGAATCGGGATGATTCTGAGCTCCTTACACACATAGAGTGTTGCGCAGTGTAGCGAGGCCCTTTTTTCTTTTTTTTTTCTTTTTTTTAACAACTCCTATCGCCGCTATCGGGCACCACTTGAGGAGGTGGTAAGGGCATCCTCCTAAAGTTGGCCCCTTCTTGGACGCTCCATCCATTGGTGGGGAGCTTCACCTGCTGGAAACCGGGTCCAGCGTCCCTTACATGATTACAACCTTATAAGAATAAATAACTGCATGGTGTACTGATTGTCCATTTGTTGAAGTTGCAGAGCGTAGCCCCTGTACCAGTGAGGTCTCAGCCTCTGACCTACAATGTGTGAAAGATATAACTGAGATATTAATCCTGACGAAAGTTCTGTGAAGGCAGAGTTCCCATGTGATAGCTTCACGGTGATAAATGTGGCTGGCCAGAAAGGGAATGGTGATGGGAAGTGGGGGTAATGGGAGGGGGATTGGGGGGGTCCGGGAAGTTGGTACTGATGGCAAGAGGGCAGAGAGGGGTAGAGAAGGGGGGATGAGGGAGAAGGATGGAGGGTGACAGTGGGGGGAGGTATGGGGGTAAAGGGGAAAAGTGGAGGGTGAGGAGAGCACGTCCTAAAGTCCGTTTGGCAAAAGGCTGGACTAAACTATACCGAGAGGATTATCTTGAGGAGCGTACTCTTCTAAAAGCAATCCCCCAGAACGTCCCTTCATACCGACTTCGTACCCTTTGGAAATCAATTATATTATGCCTGAGAGAAAGGTCTGGCCAGAGCGAGCAGACTACAGCGATCTATCTATCGTTGTAGTCCTCCAGAGGCCTGTTTATTTAAATAAACTGTGCCCCCATTTCTATAGGGGTGAGGAAATAAAGTTTTTCTCATCACGGAAGTGCCAGTGGTCTTCATTGGCTAGCCAGTTCTTCCAGACCAGGGTCCCTGTTTGCTGCAGGATGGCCAATTTTCTATGTGGGTCCAGCCAGATATTTTGAAAGGCAGCGATTGCCTGCTGCTTAGATGCCTGCTGCTCAGAATCCTGATTTGTAGCAGTCGGAAGTTCTTCCCTTAGCCTTTTGTGGGCCTTTGCTAAGGTCGTTGTAATGGTGTCTAGTATTTCTGCCTTGGCCTGTGGGAAATCGAAGATGCGTTCTTGACGCTCAGTTTGATCACCGCATCCTCCAAATGGCCATAAGCATGGCCAGACCAGTGCATTTAAACAGGTTACATTGGAAAGCCGACCAAGTCGAGGGGTAATCTTTGGTTCTCCCAAGCAAAATCAATGAAATGTCCCATCGGAAAGTCTGGCCCGTCAGGTGGGGTGCCATAAGGTGTCCCACCAGCACCAAAATCTGCACGGCTGCGAGGAGCAGATGGCCCACATTGGAAACCTGGAGGGCCGTAGGGCAGGCTAGCAGGCAGTGTTCCAAATCTGCACGTCTGCGAGGAGCAGAGGGCCCACATTGTGAGCAAAATGGGGATAAAATGCCTTTGGCCCATATTGTGAGCAACATGGGGATAAAATGCATTTCTGTTCCAAGTTGGAATGGGATGTTTGCCAATCCGGTGTAGGTAGGCATCGTTGTAGGATCTGGCACTGAACGTGACTGAAGGGCTCTGTGCGATGTTGGCATTATGTGGGCATATGTTGACCAGGAGATGGATTGAACAACTGCTTCGGGTAGGAGGCTGTAATTGAAGTCTGACGGTGTGGGCTCCACTGCTCCTAAATTTTCTTCAACCGAAGTCAAAAAATGGCTCCAGTACATCCTTTTTTTTTTTTCTCTCTTTGTTTTTTCTTAAAAAGTCCAAGGTGTTGTAGAGGCCAGTCACTGAGTGCACAGTGATCACTTGGAGCTGTGAGCCACAGGTGTCCAGGAATATAAGACCACCTCCCATCCCATCCTCACGTCAATACTCCTAGCGCACCCCCTATCCCAGTATCCTACCTCAGTGTGACCAGCACTCAGGACCATTGCCCAACCATTGGGCAGGCAACTTGGACCGAACAGCAGTGATAGGCACCAGGGCTGATAAGCTGCCCAGCCCTGGTGGAAGCGAAATCCGACGAACCTTGTCGAACGGGAACTTCAGACGCCAGGCCCAGACAATCTACCACAGGTCCCAATATATGGCCACCAGACAGTGCTATCCGGATGTCAGTAGGAACTGCACCCATTGGCACCCTATCCAACCAACCTGAACCTACTGCAGATACTAGACCCTTATCCGGTGACTAGACCCCCCCAGCCTTGTGTATGTAGCCCATAGGTGATGTGTAGTTCTATGTTATGTCCGAAGGCTATATATATGTGTATGTAGCCCGTAGGCGATATATAGTTTTATGTTATGTCCGAAGGCTATGTGTGTATCATGTGTGGAAACTTTGTGTATGTAGCCCGTAGGCGATGTGTAGTTCAATGTTATGTCTGAAGGCGTGTATGCAGCCGGTAGGCGATATATAGTTCTATGTTATGTCCGAAGGCTAAGGCTATGTGCATATATATAGCCCATAGGCGATATATAATTCTATGTTATGTCCGAGGGCTATGTATACTCTGTATATAGAAGAGAGAGAACGGGGTAAGCTGGACAGGGACGCCCCCAAGGTCCGAACCAAGCTTGAACCCATGACCTTGTGACATATAATCGAATGACTGCACCATGTGAACGGCCAGTGGAAATGGCCCAAACGTGTGATTTGCCAGACTGGGGAGATCAACAGAACACCCAAGACCAACACCCCCAAGCAACCCATGTGAAACCCAGAACCAACATACAACACCACAAACAACCCTTGGGTGGTGTGCAGACTAGGGGAGGGAGGAACTAGGATGTAGCAGTGTATCTGGCGCTGGTTCAGGGCGAAGAGGTTCCCCATCCTTCAAAATATCCTGCTCAGTCAATCCCCCCACAATGCTGGCAGGAACCCCCCACAGTTTTTCTGATGTACTCCAAATTCATTTTGTATAAGGGACGCTGGACCCGATTTCCAGCAGGTGATGC